AAGTGTGCCAACTGTCCAGAACATTCGCATTCTTACCTCAAAAGTCAAACTTGCTTTTAAGATTTCTTTAATAGCATTCATTTTACATTTTTTAGTGTAAAATTTTAAATTTTTTTAGAGTAAAAAATTCTTAAAAATCACATTTAATTTTTTTACTACAGTAAAATTTTTTTACATAAAATCGTATCTCAATTAAAATTAAAAACTCAAATCAGCGAACTAAATATGTTATAAATAAAAAAATACATACAATCAAATATAAGGTACACGAATTCTCTTTTTTTTTCTCTCTTTTTTTCATTTTTGATTTTTTTTCCTTTTTTAACTTTTTTTTTTCAAATATATAGAAGAATACAAATAACTACCATACATAATTTTAAAAATTGACTCAAAATTCATCCCTCAGGCTTATGTTCCGATCATACCACAAACCACAAATGGTGTTCCAAACAATGACTTAAACCAACTCTTAAGATCAATGAAAATTCATAAGCCTTTTTCTCACACTCTCAACTCACATAAATAAAAATCTTAAACATGGGAATTTTCTCAATTAAAATGAATTTTCAACCATCTTACCACAAGGTTTGGTGGCGTGCACAATAAACTCTGAAAACCATTCATTAACAACTAAGATAGTAAAATTTGACTCAAACAAAACATCCTAAAATCATATTTAGAAAACTTTTGCAAAAGTTTTGACTCAAAATTATTCACACAAACACGATTTTTTTTTTTTTTTACATGAATGTGTTGTCTTCCCCCAACCGAAATCAAACTGTATCCCCAACGCTTACAAGTATGAACATGCAACGAGTACAAAAAAGAGAACATTGGATGTTGAGCATGTGTTGAACCTGAAGTGATCCTCAAAAACACACAACAATGTTAAAAGAAACACACAAATCAACAAAATAACCAAACGAAAATTTAAAAAATAAAAATAAAAAGGGTTGGTAGATTGGTTTGTCAAGGATGATCTCCTCGACTTGATTTATCCTCTCCACGTAGTGCTTTAGTCGCAGGCCATTAATTTTGAATATCCTTCCATTGCTTGGGTCCTCAATCTCGACAGCACCTTTTGAAAAGACTTTTTTCATCACATATAGTTCAGTCCAACTCGACCTCAATTTACTAGGATGGAGATGCAAACGAGAATCATAAAGATGAACCCATTGATTTTGCTCAAAATTCTTCCTTAGTATACGCTTGTCATGAGCCACTTTCACTTTCGTCTTCTAGATCCTGAAATTGTCATAAGCGTCATTCCTCAACTCTTCAATTTCATATAGTTGAAGCTTTCGTTGAATACCTGCAGTATTGAGACCGAAGTTAAGGGCCTTGATGGCCCAATAAGCTTTATGGTTGAGCTCGACAGGTGAATGACAGGTTTTTTCAAAGACAAGATTGTAAGGAGACATTCTTAGTGGGGATTTATATGCAGTATGATATGCCCAAAGTGCATCAGGAAGGAGCAAGGACCAATCCTTGCGGTTGGGATTAACTGTCTTCTCCAAAATTTGCTTAATTTCTCTATTTGCCAACTCAGCTTGGCCATTTGTCTGTTGATGGTAGATAGTTGAGACTTTATGAATCATATCATATTTGCACATCAAAGCCTCAAAAGAACGATTGCAAAAATGTGTGCCTTAATCATTGATGATAACACGTGGTGCACTGTACCGAGATAACACATTTTCCTTCAGAAACTTCACAATAGTTGCATTGTCGTTATTTCGACACGCTACGGCTTCTATCCATTTTGACACATAATCCACAGCAAGAAAAATGTAGAGATGTAGTGACCAAGAAAAAAATCCCATAATTTTAATAATATAATTCATGTATTCAAGTCAAGGATTTTCCGGGAAAATCATTATACTATGTACATTTTGTGATTGAAGGATTTAGGGAATTAACATCTGCATTCCTAAATTCTGTAGCAGATTTCACGTTAAGTTCACATTTTTCCGATCAAGTAAATTCGATCGATAAATTCTCACCGTACTTTAAAACGGAAGAATTTCCAGTATAGATACAGTTAGAGAATCTTAATTTTAAGAATCTCCCAGCACAGTACAACCTAGCATCCAGAACCCGTATACAGGAGAAAATAACTGTCAGTATGAGTTTGGACAGTTTTAATGAGTAAGTTAAGGGAATGGACAAAAGTACAAGGTGTAGGTTAGTGTGTGTGATTTGATGAGATGTGATGAGAGAGGTGAATAGGACTAATGATTAGTTTTTTTTTCTCCTTTTTCTCTTCACTTGGCCGGCCATCCTTAGGAAGTTATATCCAAAAATTTTGGTTATATGTTGAGTGTGTTAGAAGGCTACAAGTTAAGGTGATGGGATGGTAGTGGTTGAAGGGGAATTAATGGCAATTTTGGCTTCTCCTTTTCTCCTTCCATAACCGGCCAAGATTGGGGAAAATTGAACCAAAATTTGGTTGATTGAGAGAGTTGATGTGGTGTTAAAAAAATAGTTTCCAAGTGCCTATAAAAGGAACCACCATAGGATAAGCCTCATTTTTTTCCCTAGCTTTTCTCTCCCCCTCAAAATCCGGCCATACCATACTCCTCCACTCT